CTTTCCGTCACTTCTGAGACTCCTCACATGCTTGTTTCCTATTCTTTTCAGACACTTCTCTGTAAAGGCTGCAGGCTCTTCCCTGGCCTCTCTCTCCTTTAATTGGCCTTCTCTGCACACCATAATCTTCTCCCTTCTGAGCATATTGCTCTCAGAGAAGGCAAAATCCTTCTCCTTCCTCCAGAGGACCCCAACAAACCTGGTCTGCTGCAGCCCGAAGGATGCAAACAGACACTTGTCTTCATGCTGCCCAACCACAGTCTTTTAGGCTATAATTACAGAGTTGTCAACTTTTGTTGACTTTTTTTGAGTAGTGAAGACATCCTGAGATTTGGAGATGCCTTATATTGGCCCAATATGGTTTATCTTGTATGCTAAGTCTCTCTTTTGATCTCTTCTACTAAGCTATCCAGGTACCACATACAGCCATAACAGTGAAGTAGGCAGTGTTGTCCTTTTTTTTTTTTTTTTTTTTGCTAAGAAATGAATCATTAACTTGCCAGTAAATACTTGGCAAAGGAAAACCAAATTCAGCAAATTAAAAAAAGTTAAGCAAAACATGTTTTGTGAGCCTTAAACCTCAGTTCCTGCTGCTTTTCCTTTGGATGACACAGTAACAGCATTGCTCCCCCAGTTCAGCTGCTGCCTACCACTAACCATGAGAACTGTGAGAACCCCGAGTACCCCAGGCACCAGGTGTGTCATTGCACACAGATGTGGGGGTTTCTTTCCAAAGAGGAAATCAAGGAGGCACTAAGTATGTGCAGCCCCTGAAACCATGTGTTCATTTACAGGTAAAATGTAATGCCTTCCCATTGGTATTGAATAGTATTTTCCAGCAGGAGCACTGGTCCCCTCTGTTTGCTGACTAACAGTACTAGATTCTGCATTCAAATAACAAATATGCAAGGTAGATTTATAAAGCAGTGGACTAGAGTCAAATAAAAAGCTGAGAGAGCACGAGACATCCAGAAACAAGGAAAGTGCAACTAACAACTGCCATTGCCTTCTTATTTATCTAGATACAGAAGATTACCATATACAGTTTGTGGCAATGAAGAGAGAAACCTCACATGTTTCAACTATGGCAACTGCACCAATCTCAGTGGCGAGTTGACATGTGTGTGCCTGCCAGGATTTGCTGGAGAACGGTGAGATGCTTCACCCAGCAGATCTTTGTGGAGCAATTCTTCCAAAAGCTGTTCCAGAAGGGTTCAGAGGGTAGCGGCCACAGGGGTTTTGCCCTCCTACAGAAATATAGACCAAGCAGTTGTTTAAGTTCAGCAGTTCCTTGCTTGAGTGACTCCGAGGGTCTGAAAGTATAGCAGTTTTACTTAGACAAAACTCAAAAATTAATGCAGCAATGTTCAATCCAACATAGCACCATTAACTCCAGTGCAAGATATTTCTTAGGCAGCATTGTATACACTTCTACAATTTTTGGATGCCATGCCAATTTTATATATGACAAGCTAGAATGTCTTTCTGTAGGTGGGGACACATAAACACACATATCCTGCTCATATATAAAAATCAGCTACAATACACTGACACATGAATATACAAAGCTGTTTCACTTTCACACGTGTGTTGTGAATACACAATCTATTTTTCCACAAGGATGGTATGAGATGAAATACCTGGTGGTACTGCAGCTTGTTACTTTCTTACTGAATGCTGAAGTATAAAAACAGAATTATTATTTTAAAAAGAAGTTAAGGAATATTTTTTACATGTTATAGTTTAGTCTGAACCAGAGGAGCCTTCCTCACAGTGAAATTTGTATCTTGTAGCATATTGTCACAATTCACACTTACCATTTGATAATTTTCTACAAACAGCTCTGGAGCAGGGCGTTCTGACAGCCTGAGGGCATTAGGTGCCATAGAAAAGTAGGAAGACATCATCCCAGTCATAATATAGTCTGAACAGGTAAGGGCACCTTTTTGGATAGTGAGAAAGGAAATACCATACGTGCTCTTGGTGAAATTAGCATTACATCAGAGAATAATATCCAAAAGTTCAACAGGACCAAGCTATGCTAGCTCTGCAAAGACAAAGAAGTTTTAACGAAAGGTTTTCATTCTCTCAGAAAGTTATTAACTGACTGATTTTGTGAAAACAGTGCAGTAAGCTATAAAAGATAGATGAAATGAAAATTTACACCCACTCAATGCACAGTGTAGTTGGCAGACGTGTCTGCATTGTACTGTTTAACTCAGCCAGCAGGTCTGTGTGCCACCTCACAATATTAAAAAAATCAAATCAAATAAAATATAAAAAAGTAAAAGCATATTCTCAGGCAGTTCCTTGGTGTGTATATTTCTTGGTACTTCAAGGTAGAAGGAAAGCACTTTTTCCTTCTTCCTTCCTCTGCCAGGCAACTTGTTAACTACAGCCTTGGGAATGCACCCTCCTTACATCCATCCCACTGGCTGGCAATAATCTCTATTTTATGGTTCCCGTGATTCTCATATTGAACGGCAGCCTTGTACCAAGCGTATTGCACTTTAACAGACTATCACAGCAAGGCATTCTTCTCCAATATCTAAAACTGCCTATTTGTCCTCTTTTTCTCCAGGCTGCCAAACCATAAACCAGTAGTAGTTCCATGCTTGCAGATCTTGGTATACCAAATGAGAAACTCCACTGCTTCTTTTCATAGAGAATCATAGAATCATAGAATACCAGGTTGGAAGGGACCTCAAGGATCATCTGGTCCAACCTTTCTAGGCAAGAACAAATTCAATTACATCAGTTAATAAGAAAATTAAAACCCAAACCCTTCATATATTTATCTATTAGATTGATAAAGCAGACATTTTCCTTTAAGACAATATTTCATCCCCCAGAATGCCATTGATGCACAGTATAGAGAAAATAGTATCTTTCTGTGTCAATTAATTGACTTGGGATCACAAAAAAAACCGCCAAGAATGAACTTAATAGGTGGAAAGGTAAATGTGAAAAGATTATTTTTCATAAAAGGAGACCTAGCTGTCTCTTAAACACAAATTTATCATTGAGTTCAGGCTGGGATTTTTGAAATTACGTAAAGAAGTTAGGGTTTTAAGTTTTCCTGAAATTCAGTTGCATTCAGGTGCCTAATTCCCTGGAAGATTTGGTTGGGGTTTCTTTTATTTGCATAGGTAAGTTCATACCTATACGATTTTTATACATTGGGTTAATACTTTAATTTAACTTTTTGAAGTATATGAATATAACTTACCATTGAAGGAAACTGTTGAAACTTTTTTACAGATTAATAAAATCAGCCAGAAGTGTTTAATATAAAGAACAGCTCTTCTCTAACGTAACACTAGAAATATATTGCATGGTTATCAACATGATGGAACAAAGCAATTCCTTACAATGCAGAAGGAGTTTCTCACTTTCTTCTTCAAGAATAAATCTGCTTTTTTATCTGGAAAAATTAGCATTTACCATTAGCATTATTTGAAAAAAAGGGGGCAGGGAATTAAGGGGAAGCTTTGTCAAAGCAACAAATCACCAAATCATTACTAGTTTTCAGACAACCTCACACATTCTTCATTAATGTTCAATTGGTTACTTTGAGAAATTACGAGAACTCAAATGTCCTTTATCATCAGAATTAACTAAAAAAATTTAATGATACATATTTAAGCTTGTAAAGCCCTGTTCTGCACCATTCTTACCATTCTCAGGGCCCATGTCCTCAGAGAGACCATATAGGAGATTCTGCTGAGCATCTACTGGCATTTCGAATTGAGAAAAAAAAGCAGGTGAGCATTCCCAGGGCGCACTCAGCTGGGAAAAACACACATTTGTTTGACTTGCATCTAGACTACCAAGAAGGAAAATGTGCCCTCAGCTCCCCATAACAATGAAAATGGATAAGCAAGCTGTCGGCAGGACTTCTGCCAGATCTAGCTGTAAAATCATACACAAACTTTCATTTTACATTGCTAAGAACCGTTAACTCTGGTTTACAGAGAAGAAATTTCCGGCTTAACTATCTGTGTTTGAAAATAATACAGGAAGTCCAGGATTTGAGTGTAGCTAATCAGGTAGTTAATAAAATCATAAACACGTGTGGAAATATGCCACAGATTGCAAATAGAGCATCCTCCTCTCCCTTCCCCCAAAAGCTTCAGAATTAAAAATGTGCCCATTTGGTGCATTTTATGTGTGATTTCAGATGCTCACTATTTGCAGTCTTTCCTCTAGATGTGAAAAGGACATTGATGAGTGCAGCTCTGACCCGTGTCTGAACGGGGGCCTCTGCCAGAACCTACTCAACAAGTTCCACTGCCTCTGCGACGTGAACTATGCTGGAGACCGCTGTGAGATAGATGTAAGCGACCTCTCCTTTTTTGTCTCTTTACTGTTGTGGCAGAATCTCTTTCAGCTTCTCTCCTATCTTATTCTACGAATGGATGATGATCCAGCAGTTGAGTGGGGTGAACAGGAAGACTATTAAACAGTCTTTAAACTTTTGTATTTTAATGCAGCAGAAGATGCCTTGACCAAACAGCTTAGCAAAGCAATATGAACATCAGAGTTTTAAAAATTGTTTCATATTTCTTTGAACCATTTTCTATGAATCGCTTTGGATCTGTTTTAATTCTTTCACTTAATTTTAGAACAAATGCTAGCAGATCTTAAAAAGTGTGTCATCCTACCTCCACCAGAGCATTTCACCACATACATGCTGCCAGTGGGCAACAGTGGGACACACCAACAGGCAGTACATATTAATGAGAACTATGAGGTATGCTGGTGGTGGCATTCAGACCCTATGACAATAGTGGCAAAGATCCACTGCCTTCAATATGGCTAATTTTACCATTAAATCTTACAGATGGTCACTGTCTTTGCATCACATGCCACATTCATTGCTATTTCTTTGGCAGTTTGGTCTCACACCTGTGAAATCATGTATGATATTTTTGGATAATTAGATAATTGTTTGGATTAGCAACTGGCAACATACTGAGCACACTCTCACATCCATTTGAATTAGTGGCAGTCCTGCACTGGTATCACTAATCCTGACCCTCTGCTCCGGTAGCCTGTACATCTCCAGTATCATATACTAATATAAAATACAGCTGTCTTAATCTTCATCGATTTTTCAAGAAAGGCCCAGTAAGTACCTCAGACTTTAAAGTCATAGATTTGTTGTTTATTCAAAGATTTCTACAACTTTAGATCTACGTTATCCATCAATAGGTATGAGTGTCATTAGACAAAAATATGTTGAGGTTTTTTTTCCTTCTTAGGAAGCAATCGAGGTAGTTCAGTTGATTCGTTGTCCATGGATTCTTTAAAGAATGAAAATAAGGGCCCTAAAAATTATCCATACTAGGAAGTTTAGCAAAAAATGTAATAGCAAATTATCTGTGCAGTTACCTTTGAGAGTGTAGACACAACTGAAGTACATCGTTAAGTACAAAACAGTAGTGAAAAGTAAGGTTTTGTTTTTCTGAACAATTCTTTAAGGCAAAAACCATGTATGAACAGTGCAACCATTTGTTTGGGCATTCATGATCATATTATATTTGTATAGGGTCTGTACTCCTCTTAGTCATTTAAATAGTGTCCTTGAGCGATGATTCAAAAGACTAAGCATGTATAAAGTGTTTTATTATTAAGTGATATGGCATGTAGCAGAGTTACAGGAAAGACTAACTAACATTATACAATGAAGTTTTATGACTCCAGAGAGAACAGCTGATCTTTTGCAGGTGTCCTTGAGCCCAATGATATTACAGTTTTCCCACTTCAAACCTGACCTTGTCTCTTCAGTCCTACCCAACTTGCTATGGATTGGACCTGGAGTGCTCATGAAGAGCAAATCCCACCTTTAATTCTACAGTTTCATTAAGACACCTTAAAATGTGTGTATAAGTTAGATGTTAAGGTTCCCGTTTTGCCATGGCGGGATATAGCAGAAGTCACTGTCTGGTAATCAAGCCTCTATTTTTTGTTTCTCACCTTTCATAAATGCTCCAAAGTCTGTAATTTTTCTGAATACCATTCAGCACATAATTGCAGCAACACTGGTCTAATTAAAAAGTCTACTCCTATTTTCAGAGGGAAAAAAAACCCCAAACACATTTTGTGCACATTTATGGAAAATACCATGATTCATCCCTGCAATATGTCATGTATGCCTGTCTCAAGCACCTGTCTTAATATGAAAACTTAAGCACAATATATTTAGTTATAATAATTGTATTACACAAGTATAATTTCTTTGCTCTGTTTATTATACCAGAAAAGTAATTGAGGTGATTTTCTTGTTAATCTCTTATTTAAAAAAAGAAAAAAAAAATCAGCTAAAAGTTCCTTTCCTCTTTGTAAGCAAACAATAAACACAAGACAGGAATGCATGTTCCAGCACTTTAGGTGAAATTAATGTAGCAGTGTCAGAAACAAAACTGTATATTCTATCAGATGTAGGGCTTAGCTATCTTACTTACTGGGAATCACATGTAATATCGTGAATTATATAACATGGGCAAAGACAACAAACCAAAACCAAACTGCTTTTTTTTTTTTTTTTTCAATGAAAATACAGTTTTGGAAAATTGGATTTTTACTCCAGATAAAGTAATGTGATCAAACTTACAATGTCAGAGGAAAAGTTTGGGTTTTTTTTTTTAAATGAAATCAATATTTCTGTGTGAAATGTCTGCATTTTGGTTTAAAATATCAAAGTAAGAAAAAACAAAATGAAAACATTCACCTTGTTTTGAGTTAAAACGTCCATTTTCCTTCGTACGGAGAAATTTAAAATAATAAACAAAGTATTATGTTGGAAATTTTATTCCAAACTGTAGTTTTCATTTAATCATAGCTAAAAATGTTGCTTGGTTCAGTATTATTCAAATGAAAAATTAAAAACTTAAACACAAATAACATGAAATTAAAACTATCATATCATTTCAGAATGCTAACTAAAAGCAAAGAAGTAGGAAAGTTTTGAAAATTCACATGAAAAAACTGATGCTACTAACCAAAGCAGTTCAAACCAAGGATTCTTTTAAAAATCAAAATTAAGAAAATCACAATAAAGTTTTGGGTTTTTTTTCTCACTGGGTTTAGTTCAGCTCCCATATAACTAAATTGAGCTATGTACTTTATAGAATATACGCTACAGGATACACTACAATAAGCAAAAATTTCATCCTGGTATTAATGTTGAAGAAAGCTGGAAAGCAATACGTGTAATAACGACATGTCTGACATACTATAGCTATAGACATAATCTGAAAAACAAGGCATACATGCATATAGAGATTCCAAAACTCTTTCGCTTCAATACTAGAAACTTGATATAAGAGTGTACATACAATATTAAATACAGGTTTTATATGGGTTTACAGGAATATGCAAGTTATTAATCTAGAATATATTAGCAGAGCATCAGTTCAGTCTTTCTTTTTCTGAGTACACACCTGTAATTGAATTCTTTCCTTCCTCTAATGCCTTGTCATCATGAAAAGTCCCGACTTCAGAAATGCTGCTCCTTTCCTCTTTGTATTTCTGTATTCTCAACTCCATTGTGCACATGTACATAACTTTCCTACCTTTATACACAAAATAAACCTTCTGCCTTTGTCTCTTTATGTCTACTCCTCATTTTCTGCTAATGACTCTATTCATTTGCTTTAAGTGTGCCATATTTTCTGAATGTTTGCACTTTACATGTACACCACAGAAAAACTAAGGCTGTATCTTCCCTGGGTCTTCTCCAGGAGCACTGACAGTGCAGAGCCAGGTGCTTCCCAGTGAAGTGGTTCAGCTGCTTGAACCACTTCAGCTGCAATACTGTGTTACCCATCAAGGGTGATTACCTTTGCTGGGTAGCTCTTGGTACCTTACAGAGCACAACTAAAAAACAAGCCCCCAGACCAATGATTCAGAGAGGAAGGGATTTATCCACATGGCTTAAAGTGACTGTTATTAGTTAGCTCATCCTTACATACTGTCAATACTTACAAAACTGTTGAGTGTTACGAGGTCTCTGTCAAAATTTTGATGGGTCATTCCTTTCCAGTGAGGTATCGTAGCCCATAGGCTGGACCTGTCCCAAGCATAGGTCTTCCGACACACCCAGTGGAGAACAGACTTGATATTTCTAGTTTAAAAGGTTAAAAAATAAAGAAATAAATGCCAGATTAATTAAAATAACTTTCTTGAATATACATGGGTTTTTAAAAGAAATGCAGGTGTAGGACATTTAAAGGGAAGCAGCTATAGGAGCAAACGTGAAGAAACAGCTGGATGAATAACGACACTAAGCAGTAATTTTTTTTGTAAATACATCCAATTGCTAAGACTTTTTAGAATTTGAGGGGTTGAAAATGCCATTATTCAAGTTTAATATTAAGATAGAACAGCAAGATCTTCATACACCTCCAGTGTTGCAATTTTATTGCAAATCTTTTGAGATTTGATTTTTTTTATTTATAGCACAAACTCACAGATAAGTTCATGCTTTTGTGAGAATCTCAGTATTCATTTAAAAAAAAAAAAAAGTAAAAAAAAGAGATCGTGCGATTTTGAGTGTTGAGAAGAGCTTGGAAAACCATCATCTCAATATGCTCAAAATTAGAGGAGGGGTACCAGACATGCAAACAAAAGAAAGCAAACAAACAAGACCATGATTTTTGGAGGCATGGCTTGTGATGCTGAATACTGATATTATCTGTAATGGATCCCCCTATATTTTGATACTAATATTCAGGTTGTTTTTCAGATGCCAGTGACTGTCATTCAGAAATATGGGTAATGAGAAGTACCAGTGTTTGGGCTCGAGGAAGAAGTAAGATTTCTGAAAAGAAGGGAAAGACAGTAGTGATGGAGGTACTGGAAGGAAGAGCAAAGGGATTTGCATCAGCTGTGGGATGAATGAAAGGGTATTCTTTAATGTGTTTGGCAAACACAAGAGGTACTTCAATGGGGAAGTATACACAGGGAATGACAGAGTGTCTTTATTGACAATAGCTCCTACTTCTGACCCTTAAAAAAACAGGCTCTGACTGATCCGCCTCTGCAGGTGCTCTAATACAATTCAGACTCTGCCAGCAGTATCCTATCACAATTTTAACTACAAACAGCCCATGTGTTCGTGAATTGGAAAATATCCTTGGTGATGTATGCTTACTTGAATTCTCTTGCTCCCAGAACATTTAATTTTTAAGAAACTAGATCCAATACTCAATTTACTCAGTGCTTGTGACTACAGTATGTTGGTGAAACTAAAAATAGCAAAAAATCTGCTTCAAACTCACAGTGATGAAAGCAGGTTTCATTCTTTCATTGCAAATATTTTTCCTGGCCTGA